TCCCATGGTTGCATTGTGATACTTCCATGGTGCATTGCAATATTCCCATGGTTGCATAGTGATTCTCTCATGGTTCATATGCCACTCCCATAGTAAGTGTTCTATTCCAATGGTGCATTGTGATACTCCCATGGTGCATTGCAACACTCCCATAATTGCATGGTGATACTCTCATGGTTCATATGCTACTTTGATAGTAAGTATTCTATTCCCATGGTGCATTATGATACTCCCATGGTGCATTGCAACAATCCCATGGTGCATTATGATACTCCCATAGTGCATTGCAACACAATTATGTTGCATATTCTACTTCCATGGTGATGTTAACAAATGCTGTTACCTGGTATAGTGTAGCTCCATGATTGAACATAATAAACCAATAACACTGTCTTGCTATTTATGACCAGTTTTCTCAACAATTATGAGTAAACTTCTACCAAGAGTTAGCTTTCCTCAATATTGTCTATATTACAATTGGTGAAATATTGTATATGGATCATCTCTTTAATAGCTAGATGTATGCACAATGTATTAATGTATATGTTTATCTTTTCTCTCTTTTTTCATTTTCTAGATGAATCTACCATGAGATTTTTCTGTCTGTGAATTGGAGAGATGCGTGTATGTTAAAAGGCTGAATCTCACATCCACCCTCACATAGTATTGTGAAACTAACCATAAACTCTTTTTATCACTCACTGACATAATTTACAATGAAATCGCAGCGGATATACCAAAGGTTTGAATTGAATAGGCGTTAAATCAATTACAAAAATTATCTTTTCTGCTGAGATGTGAACAGTATCAATGGTGTCAGCAGCAGAAGCTTTTTTGGAGAAAGTAACCCTTTCACATCCTGTAAATACAAGTCTATCTATGATTGCATAGTCTGTGAGCACAAACTAGAGCTGATATCATCAACCATTACTCACTTAGTGTTATAGCAGTCTCCCAACAATGTCAGACAAAAACTCTATTAAGGCCATAACTCTTGATGATGTCGAAAGTCATCTTAAGTTACTTACTACTGAGTTTCACTGCAAACGATGCAACCAAACTGATTTTATAAATCGGAATGTGTATGAACTACACCTTCGATCACATGATGTTGCTGACAAAATTACAAGTGAGGGAATTAATGAAGAGATCCCAACATGTGAACATTGTGGGAAAGCATTCTCAAAAAAATGGCATTTACAGCAACATCTGAAAATCCATACAGGAGAACGAGCACACCAGTGTACTTACTGTGGATGGAGATTCACCCGGAAAAGTGACTTGACCAAACACATCCGAATTCATACAGGAAAAGAATTCCAGTGCCATATATGCGAGAAGAAATTCACAAGAAAATGGGACCATGATGTCCATGTAAAGACACATAGTGGTGAGTGTCTGCACACCTGTCATTTGTGTGGAAAGACGTTCACGTGGAAGCGGTGTTTAATTGAACATGTACGATATCACACTGGTGAGAAACCTTACCAGTGCGAAGTATGCCAAAGAAGATTTACAACAAAGACACATTTGAACGAACACAAGAGAACACATACTGGAGAGAAACCATATCAATGTTTGAGGTGTATGAAGTATTTTGCGCATAAAAGTTCAGCCAAGAAACATGCATGTGCTTGGGAAAGGAAAAATCTATCCATGCATATGAAAGGATTATCTGAAAGGACTGGAATAAATTCTGAGCCAATCTCATGGGTGAAAATGACGAATACTAAAAGGAGTAAAATCGGTTTCTCAAATGATTTTGATTCAAATGGAATGCCAGTAAATGTGAATGAGACTACTAGTTCATCATGCACAACACCAACTGTAGAGACTACTCATCTAGCAAAAGTGAGTGAGCTGGTATTGACTGCAGAAAATCACCCTATTGTGGATGAGAACATTCAGATGCAAAGAGATTTGCAGCAACAGGACGAACACATTCAAATGTGCTTTTCAGAAGATGTCAGTCCAGTTATATTGGTCTCAAGCATTGACACTCAGGATTGCAGCATGGTAACAAAAGAACATGCTTTAAAAATGAATACTGGTGTTGACGGTTATGAAGAGATGCTGCGGCAGGAGTATGTACCAACCCCCGGGGATGACTCATCACAGAATATCACAAGAAACGACGTGGTTGAAGATAATGAGGCAGTTATTAATGAAAGTGAAGACAATACTCTGAAGGAACAATCTGCAATGCATGATGGTAGTAGAAAACACATTTGTACGAAGTGTGGAAAAGGATTTTTTCACAGCAAGCACCTTTGGGAACATTTAAAAATACATTCGGGTGAAAGGCCACACAGGTGCGTATATTGTGGATGGAGATTTACACGCAAGAGTGATTTAACAAAGCATGTACGTATCCACACTGGAAAAGAATTCCAATGTAATTTGTGTGGCAAATGGTTCACTAGGAAAAGTGCTCTTGAAGAACATATAAAAGTAAAACATCATGGCATCGCTACTTACCACTGTGATATTTGTAACAAGAAATTCAAATACAGAAATATTCTTGTGGAACATAAACGATATCATACAGGTGAGAAACCATTCCAATGCCGAGAATGCCGAAAGTGTTTTACGACCAAAAGCCACATGAGGGAGCATCAACGTACACATACTGGTGAAAAGCCTTACACATGCAAGAAGTGTGGTAAACATTACGCACATAGGAGCACAGTTAATAAACATTCCTGTAATTGGGTGAAAAAACAGCTGACTGAAACAAGCAAAACTGAAGCTGTACACCCAGTTGGAATACTGACAAACACCCACCATGTTCCAGTTGCTGAATGTGCTCATAGTGGTGATGTGCAGTACGACAATAGCTTAATCAATGTGTATTATAACACATCTCATATTGTAATTAATAACAGTCTAGTCGAACCGTATTATGCAGAGATTGAGTTAAATCCTCCAGAACTGTATCTCAGTAATCCTATAATTGACTTGAATGAAAATAAAGACGACGCAACCTTCTATGAGCATGAAACTGAAACATTGTGTAACATCATTGAGCAAAAAAGCATTTTGCAGATGGAAGATCATGGCATTGAGATGTTAAGAGTAAAATTTACTTAAAATTACCTATAATGTGTAAACTGATTATTATTAGGTATAGAATGATTATTTGGTTTGTGAACTGTGTAAAGAGTCATGTTCAAGTTCTAATGTGTTTACCCACTGGCTAATCACATCCTACACTTTTAACAGTACATTTCTGTTACTGTGAATTAGGTTTTGATTGATGGTGTGGCTTGCAATTATCTCATGTGATGCTTTGCCATGGTGTCCCGCAATTGACGATGTATACATTTTCGTAATTACATTTCTGAACAATGGTCATTGAAATCTACTTAGTTGTATAGCTTCAGAGAGCTCTTTATCCCATCATTAATAAATTGACCACTGAGTCATTTATAGATATCTATATAACCATGTGATTTGTAGTGTTATTTTCCATCAAAATGAAGGTCTACACACAAAGATAAATGATTTATGAAATGTTGTTGTAATGTGAATCTCATCAGCAACATTTTCATTCTCATGAAGTTAATTGCAATGTGCTGTATGTAAAACATTTGCATTATATCCTCTATAAATTGTGCGATATAGTTTGTCATTTGAGAGGGAGATGAATGGTTGATTTGATTTGAGATGCATATGGTTTTCGAGAATAATTTATTTGAATTTCATTTTGAGATATCTTGACTAATATGCTTATCAACATGATCTGACAGACTTGACGTATTTGTTACTTCAATGGTCATAGAACATATGATTTACAATAATGGCATACTTCAACAGAATTGGATTAGAGACAAAGGATTTACCATGGTAACCCATTGCATTTGTCCTTCAAGCATATGCAGTTCATTATGTTATCGGGACTGGGTATGGCTACCAATGATTTTTATGAAGTAGATTATGAAGTTTGAAATATGGCTGCAAGGTATGGTTGATTTCGACCAACAAACTTCAATTGATATGAACTGTATTTGTCAAAAACTTGTTTGAACTGGTTGTCTTAGGCTGATACAATGTAACTACGTTAATCACGTGGTCGGTGGCCATCTTATGTTTTCTAATTAAGAAAAATTGTCCAATTACTCCAATTGTGACATTTGGCATGCATCAACTGCTCTACCTGTGCAGTCTATCCTGTGAAAATCAAGTTCCCATGTCACATGGTTTGTGCATGTCTGGTGTCATGTGTGCATAATAACTTATTTATTTGTAGTTATGTTGGCGCTCGCCGCTGTGTCCCCGGAAGTACAATGGGAGATTGCATGATGGGGGTGAAAAGTCCTTTGATCAGTAAAATAATTTTAGAAAAGTGAAAACTAGAGTGACTGTGAAATAAATGTTGGTTTTAAATATTAAATATGGAATCTGGAGGAAAAGATAATGAAAGTAAATTGGTATGAAAGGGCAAAGTAAATGTAGCCAGAAGGCAAGGTCAGGGGGTCAAAATACGTCACAATACATCCATCATTGCGGCTGCAAAGTGTCAACTATGGATGCGGTGAAGAACTTAGTTTGCGTGAGTGGCCGGGACAAAAATCATGCAAATTTTGTGCTTCAGTAACAGTATTTGCTGCTTTTTTGTGCAATGAAATTAATACAGGATTTGCTGCCAAAAGACATTTCCTTCCAGTAAACAAAACAACCGTGGAACGTTTATCTTAGGAAATTTGAGAAGATGAAAATCCCTCTGGACAGTTGTCCTTGTGAAACAATGGACATACTTCTCCAGGATATCAAAGGTATATTTGATTATTTGAAGAGGGAAACTGCTGCTTTATGGAAGAGCAAAGTTCAATGTCATTGGCCACAGTAATGACACTGCTGATTGGCTTCGGATAGTTGAAGACGTTTTTAGACAGGTGACTCGCTAGAAGTATTCGCCGTGACTCAGGGCTTTTCATTCATTTCATTTATACAACACTTATATGTTACTGCCAGGAAGTTTTAATGTCTTGTTTGTATTTGCACATTGTGAAAGACGGGATTATTGTCAAAATATATACTGGTGATTGTATGCGTATTGAAACTATACAAAATTTGACCTATGCACATCCGTTTTATGTGATAAAAGAACATGTTGGCAGAAAACAGTGCATTCTCCGTTCAATTGTTAGTTACATGCACTCAAGTTCCGGTATATGCGCATTGGAGAATATCACCCAAAGAATACTGCTGTGTTAGCTGGTAGAACAACCTACAACTACACGACTAATACGTTATTTCTGTGGTATATTTGTTACCAGGAAGCTGTTACTTTATTCGGGTTCGCTTAAGTCTACTATTTGGACTAAACCCCGAGGATGGTATGGGTACACACAAGTTCAGAGATTACCTAAACAGAGCTGATATCAAAGTGAGTTCAAGTATTCACAGTTACAAATAGTGTTGATCTGAACGAATGATTATTGTAGTCACAAAAAATATAAAATCATAAATATTGAAGCACTGCAGATTATGATGTCTAATCAACAAATAAAACTTGATATGGTTGTAGCCGTTTAGGAACATTTTCATTGGTTATTACAATAAACAAACTTGTAAATTTGCTTCGCATCATTCCACCGAGAACTCACTGGCCAGAACAGTTCTGATGAACAAATCTCTGTTGTAGTGTCACTCAGAATCCCTCATGTTCATCATAGTTTTCACCGTTCTGCAAAACAAAGCAGTACAATAAATATATTCATTCCATTACATTTGACTTGTTGTTTTGTTATCAGATTGACGATATTGATGGTTAAAAAATCATTCACATCGGTGGTACAAAAGGCAAAGGTTCTGTGGCTGCCTTCTGTGAAAGTATATTACGTGCAAATGGATATAAAACTGGATTATACAGGTAACGAACAAATACATTCCAGCACGAGTCACTGAGTCTAAATTTCACACATATTTAATAAATATCAAAGACCTAATTATATTATAGTTTGTCAACAACAATATTATACCTTTTATGACCTCGATTTCTGTAATACATAATACGCAATAGACCATTTTCCGTACACTGCGAGAATCACGCGTTATGCGTGAAATCGAACGTAAAAACAGGACAAACAAAGGTCATAGCGTCGTAGTCGCGTCAAACATCGCGTGGGATTCGACAAACGCGAAAGTATTTTGGGGACATTTCCATGCTTAATATTGTGCTGTCCACATTTGATGACAGGCAATTTCGATTAAGTAATGGTATTCGGAAGCAATATTCCTCTGTCGAAGATGGCCGGTCGGTGTGAGCTACGAAATAAAGAAATTCTAGTTCAAAATCAAATCGTTCGATTTTTGCGGCAGACGTTCGACGCGCGTCTTTCATGCATCTCGCGAGATCTCGCAATTGTACGGAAAATCACCTATTGCAGTGCCTAGAAAATGTTGAAAGCTTCAGACTTTGATTTTTGGTATTTGTTGTCCTTATTTATTTGGTTGGATCAGTGTCAAGTTAATATTCAGTTTCACTGGCCGTCGACTGAAAACTGGATATTCATTGAAGTCCTTGTATGATTTACTATTCTCCATTATGTATTGTGTGTGTGTGTGTATCTGCCACATTTCAGCTAAACTTTATTGAATCCTTATAAGATTATTTATGTTTCTTTTCTAGTTCACCGCATTTGTGAGCGATTCCGTGTCAATAATATACCACTGACAAAGAATGTTTTTTGTAGATATTTCTATGATGTCTACAAACAATTAGATTCTATAAAAGATGCATTTGAAGAACTTATGCCATGTTTGGAGCGGTTCCCAGTATTAATGGAATTTCATGTGTTCATACAGGAAAAGGTACCCTTTTTCGTAATCTGTGTAACAGAATTACATAACATTAACATTAACACTATGTTAGTGTAGTTTGCTTTGTCTTTCACATTATCACGATGCTGTTGTTTTAAGCATTGTATAGCGTAGACTTATCATTGTATTATGATTGCAATTTTATCATCAATAACTTTTTTAACATATTTTTGTGTTTGGATAATATTGATATATGGTAATCACTAGGTTTGTGAAGTCAGCGTCAGAGTTGGGCATCTCCCTCTATTTACTGTGCGACCACGTTCATTACATGCTACTTAGTGCTACACTACATCTCTGGCAACAGTGGCATATTCATGTGTCGTGGTCAAGTGTACGAGTCCCATCTCCGTGTTGTGTTTCTATGTTTGTAATATACCTGTAAATAATAATACAATAGTGAACTTAAATTTATTTGTCATTTACTTTGAAGGTTGATGTTTTCATTCTGAAACTAAGCATTGGTGGTG